AATCACCACGAAGCGGGGCAGCAGCCCCAGCCCTGCCCCCGCGGCTCCGCACACCCGCAACCGGGAGCCGCCAGAGGCCCGGCCGCGGGCGAGAGGGGACGGCTGGGCCCTGGGGGTCCCCCTTTCCCCCCGTCCCCATCCCCGGCCCGTACCGCTTGCCACCGAAGCTGGGCCTCTCCTCATCCGAGTCGCGCTCGGCCCACACGCCGTAGGTGGCCTCCTCCTTGGTCTGCCGGTGGCGCTGCCGGTGGGGGTTGAACTCGTTCTGCAGGTCCCAGTCCGACACCTCGAAGTTCTCCATCTCCACCCCATCGTCCCCGTCCGTGCCGTACAGGTGCGACATCGACATGGCGACGGCGGGGGACAACCCCGACCCCCGGGGCCCACACAACCAACACCCCGCCGACCCCCGGCCCTGCCGCCGCTTCTTCCCGGAAGTAAACAGCCTCCTTCCGGTAACGCGCCGCTCTAGCCCCGCCCACAACCATAGAGTTGGCGGGAGGGGGGCCGCGCTGGCAGCCGCTTCTCTATGGTTTGGAGACGCGGCCTGCACCGCCCGCGGGAGCAGAGAGGGAGGGTTTATTTTTATTAAAACAATACTTTAATGGTGTGCAACAACGGGAGGAGGCGAGTGGGGTATGGGCGGGCTCATATATTAACTCTGCAATAGCCTCTGTAAGTCACAGTGAAGGGAGGGCTGGGGTGGGGGGGGGAATCACTGGCACCACAAAGGCTCTACAAGGTCAGGGGGGCTATTTCTGACCCGTCACTGAGAGAACAGCGTTACCAGACACTTAAAACGCAATTTAACGAGTCCTCCGGCCACAGCCTACGAAACCCCTTCCCGCTGTGTGCCGGCTTCCCCCTCGAACGTGGATTTCCATGGCTGCTTCCACCAGGAGCAGGGGGAAAAGGCTGGGGAGGGGGGAGAGATCCGGCCTGTCCGAAGGGGTTTGGCCTTTTGCAAATAAATGCAAATACATTCCTCGTATAGCAGTCATTTTGGCAATAGTATTAGCAAGCAATATGCTTGGATAACCGATTTCCACTGGTGCCGTCGCAAAACTCTTCTTTGTCGGGCAAGGAAAGGCCGTCGGGCAGCGTCCTGGAAGAGAGAGACACAAGGGGCTCAGGAGCAGGATCCCGGCACGGAGGGAACCCCACGAATCATAGAATTGTCTGGGTTGGAAGGGACCTTTAAGATCATCTTATTGCTCTCTCCAACTCCCTGAAAGGAGGGTGTAGCCAGGGGGGGGGTCGGTCTCTCCTCCCAAGTCACAGGCGATGGGACAAGAGGAAACAGCCTCAAGTTGCCCCAGGGGAGGTTCAGGTTGGAGATTAGGAACAATTTTGACACTGGAACGGTTATCAGGCATTGGAATGGGCTGCCCAGGGCAGTGGTTGAGGCACCATCCCTGGAGGTGTTCAGAAGACAGGTTGACGTAGCGCTTAGAGACATGGTTTAGGGATGGGTTTTTTTTAATCAAAGGTAGGTTAATGGTTGGCCTAGATGATCTTGAAGGTCCCTTCCAACCCAGATGATTCTAAGAGTCTGTGATCTAGTCCAACCATCACCGCCCGCGGGAGCAGAGAGGGAGGGTTTATTTTTATTAAAACAATACTTTAATGGTGTGCAACAACGGGAGGAGGCGAGTGGGGTATGGGCGGGCTCATATATTAACTCTGCAATAGCCTCTGTAAGTCACAGTGAAGGGAGGGCTGGGGTGGGGGGGGGAATCACTGGCACCACAAAGGCTCTACAAGGTCAGGGGGGCTATTTCTGACCCGTCACTGAGAGAACAGCGTTACCAGACACTTAAAACGCAATTTAACGAGTCCTCCGGCCACAGCCTACGAAACCCCTTCCCGCTGTGTGCCGGCTTCCCCCTCGAACGTGGATTTCCATGGCTGCTTCCACCAGGAGCAGGGGGAAAAGGCTGGGGAGGGGGGAGAGATCCGGCCTGTCCGAAGGGGTTTGGCCTTTTGCAAATAAATGCAAATACATTCCTCGTATAGCAGTCATTTTGGCAATAGTATTAGCAAGCAATATGCTTGGATAACCGATTTCCACTGGTGCCGTCGCAAAACTCTTCTTTGTCGGGCAAGGAAAGGCCGTCGGGCAGCGTCCTGGAAGAGAGAGACACAAGGGGCTCAGGAGCAGGATCCCGGCACGGAGGGAACCCCACGAATCATGGAATTGTCTGGGTTGGAAGGGACCTTTAAGATCATCTTATTGCTCTCTCCAACTCCCTGAAAGGAGGGTGTAGCCAGGGGGGGGGTCGGTCTCTTCTCCCAAGTCACAGGCGATGGGACAAGAGGAAACAGCCTCAAGTTGCCCCAGGGGAGGTTCAGGTTGGAGATTAGGAACAATTTTGACACTGGAAGGGTTATCAGGCATTGGAATGGGCTGCCCAGGGCAGTGGTTGAGGCACCATCCCTGGAGGTGTTCAGAAGACAGGTTGACGTAGCGCTTAGAGACATGGTTTAGTGATGGGTTTTTTTTAATCAAAGTTAGGTTAATGGTTGGACTAGATGATCTTGAAGGTCCCTTCCAACCCAGATGATTCTAAGAGTCTGTGATCTAGTCCAACCATCAACCTAACTCTGATAAAAAACCATCACTAAACCATGTCAGTAAAGCTCTATGTCAATTAACGTGCAAATACACGTCTCTATGTGCCCATATAAGCCCATTTTAATGCTTAGGTGGTCACTGGTCCCTTTGCTGACCTGTTCACTGTGGGCTCCATAATGTGCTCAGCAGCTTGTTCGCTGCTCTTCTCCCCCTCCAATTACTCTTTATTAATTTCATTAGAAGATTGGTGTGAGATCAACCCCAAGGGAGGGACAGGCATGGGTGAGGGAGGGCAGTAATTTGAGCATGGTGGGTTTCTGCCTGGGGTTCCCAGGTTTGATGGGCTGACCCAAAAAATATGGTGAGGCAAAAAGAGGGTGAAGAGAAACGTTCAACTGCAAAGTCGTGCCTTCAGCTGCCCGTGTGACATCGCCCAGTGAGGAAGGACCATGTGCTGAAGGGTAGAAACTTCTCTTCCCCGGGTGAAATCCAGACACGGATGCTTTTCATGCTTTTTAAAAAATGCTTTTAAATGGTTAGAAAGAAACCCAAGTCCCAGCTCCAGGACGGCAGGCACTCAACTTCTGTTCTCACTCAATGCTTCTGGGACATTTTTAGTAAGAAAAATGACATTTTATGTTTCAGGGGAGAGGCTAGCTGAAATGAGAGACAGAAAAACATCCCTCACACCAACAGTTGTATCTGGAGCAGAAAGCCAAGATAGCAGCTTTGTTTTTCCAAACTGACACCAGATCTTAACTGCTTTATCTTTCCTTCCACGGGCCCACAGCAGGCCCTAGAAGACAGCTGGGGGGCAGCTCAGCTCATCTACATGTTCCCATATCCTGTTTCAATGCTCCCCACGGGGACAGTCAGTAAAAACTCTCCCAAGGGGCTGATTTGGATTTTGCTGAAGTCAGCCTGTTTCCAGCACTCGGGAAAAGAAAAAAAAAAAAAAGAATTTCTGACAAATCCTCTCACGTAACAGTGTTGTTCTGGAAACCTAAAGTAACTGTGAAAGAGATAATTCGCATAACGAGGGTGCCTGGAGCAGGCTGGCTAATCCACAGGCACAAGAAATGACACAAGGCGAATGCTACCCCAGGAGCAAGGCAGGCAGATTTTCCCGAGTCCCAAAATAAAGTAGGAGGTCTTACCTGGAAATCATTAATTTTCTTAGTGAGAAGATGATGTGTTCTGAGTCACCTAGAACAACCCGGAAACAGAAGGGGTCAGCTTTAAGCCGCCATCTGCAACTCAAACCATCCCCGTGGCGTTCCCAGCAGCACGGAGAGGAAATATTTGGGACGGGGAAAGCAGCACAAGGGCAGAGAACCAGCAGCCAGGAGACCACAGGCTCTGGCTTGGCTCGCCCCAGCACAGCCTGGCTTCCTCCGGCCGGGACTGGGCTCTGCGTCCTCTCGCCCAACGCTGGCCACGCTGCTCAATCCCCCTGCTTTTTTTTTTTTAGGAGGCCACATGTTGAGCAGGTAAAACCCGGCACCTTTGATCGAAAACAATCTATGGCCATCTCCCTGCTGTGCTGGGAGCGCTTCCTGCAGAGTCAAGAAGTCTTTTTTTTTGCTTTTTGCTATTTTAATCCTGTACATGCAATGGTTGTTGGACTGCTTTTCATTAAAAGAGATGGTTATTAATTGTTTTCGAGCACCACTCTTTAGGGAGGGAGCCCCGTAGTGTTTTTTTGACACAGCCACCCGAGAACAAGAACTAGACCTATCTATAACCCCTAAATCAGCCAGTCCCCCCTTCCCTAAGGCAGGTGGGACCCACAAGAGATGGTTATTAATTGTTTTCGAGCACCGCTCTTTAGGGTGGGAGCCCTGTAGTGTTTTTCTGACACAGCCACCCGAGAACAAGAACTAGACCTATCTATAACCCCTAAATCAGCCAGTCCCCCCTTCCCTAAGGCAGGTGGGACCCACGGCAACAGCAACTTTAAGAATTTTGGAATAAGCAAGGTAGGAAATGTCTTAGAGAATGAAAAACACAAGTTTCTGATGAGTGAACACAGAGCCCCACAGCACGGAACCAAACACACAGACCAGGGAAGGAGGTGGCAGAGATGAATGAGCAGGGTCTGAGGAGCACAGAATCCACAAGGAGGGTGGGAGTGGAACACAGTGGCAGAGATGAATGAGCAGGGTCTGAGGAGCACAGAATCCACAAGGAATGCGTGAAGGGTGGGAGTGGAGCACAGCAGGGAGGAGAGGCACATCCTCCCCATGGATGGAGGCAAGAGAGCAGGGACATTTCCCACTGCCCAGCCTGCAATTGCCCATAAGAGGGAGCAAGGGACCCAGGATTCACCAAAGAGGGCAAAGACCTGAAAGGGACATCAGACTCTTACCTGCGGATGACCTTTCAAATTGGCTGGCGTTTTATAATCCCCCTTTAAAACCTATGGAAAAGAGAAAACGGGAGTGACCCTTCTGGGGTAGTGGCTCTATGAACATGGGTAAGTCCACCTCGTTAATTGCATCCTACCTCCCAGTAAACCTGAACCAGCTGAAATACCCTGAAGGGTCTTTGTTCTACATCGTGGTGCTATATTGGGGCAAAAGCAGGAGGTTTCCTCTTTTCTGACTGTAACCAAAGACAGGGAAGAGCATCCCACCGGAGCAGGGAACCGACACAAGCACTTCTCTGGTCTCCCCTTTAGCCTGGGAGGGGAGAGTATTTTGGTCTTTACCATCGTGCCACTTCTCCAAATTCATCCCAAGAAGCACTGAAAGGTCCACGTCAGAGACCCAAAGAGTCGCTGACCCTGCCCAGGGCAGATGTTCACCTAAACCACCGTGTCTAGAACAGCCCTCATAAGCAGAGAGAGCAGAGAGGAGCTGGAAGAGACCAGAGCAGGGACCAGCTCCAGGAAAGCTATTCCAACCTTCCAGGTCAGTGCTGCTGCTTCCCTGCCTGGCCACGATTTGCAGATAATACCAGAGGGACCTGGTCCCATGCACAGACGTTCCCTTGCTCCCCCCAATGTGACAAAGAACACCTTGTCCAAGGCCACCATTATGGGGAGCACGTGCAAAACTGGGGTGGTTGCAGAGCCCAGCCTCAGGCCAGGGAGGAAACCAGTCCACCCCAAAGCACGAGAAACTCCCTCTCTTTAGTAACTGCTGTCTGTGGCTCTGCAGCTTCTTCCTTCCAGTCCTGCTCCAGGGCTATGAGTCAATATTCTAAAAAAAAAAACAACAAAAAACCAAAAAAACCTTCTGGTTTTGCCCAAATGCATGACGAGCCCCCACTCGCATTCCCCGCGGGACGGCGGGAGTGGCTGGTGAGCAAGAGGCAGACACAGCCCAGTCTGAGGCTCCTCCTGGGGCCAGACTGGTGGGACTGGTGCCGACACAGCCCTGCCACCTCGATACCACCAGCCCACACCAGTAACTTCCACACCCGGCCCCGGGTCCGAGAGCGGGGCTGGGTCGGGGAGGGGACAGGTCACTATCTGCCACAACAGAAGAAAATGACCAGCACCACAAAATCATAGGGAACGTCAGCAGCTCGAGCCACGCCAAGGCTCAAATCTACCACACGCCTCTGTTTCGAAATCACCCGGGTGTCTGGCCTTCCCAGTCTCCCAAGAAAAAAAAAAAAAAAAAAAGGAGAGAAATCGAGAAATCGTTTGTCTTCTCCCCTTCTCTCTTCTTGATGCTGTTCAACCTCAGCTCCAGGGGGGTTCTGTGGGTGCAACCTCTCCCCAAAGCCCACCCCATATCAGCCCTCCCCCCGGCACCACTCACTCTGTGCGTGTTGTTGACAACCAAGGGGTCGGGGTGGCCGTAGTTGGGGGGGTTGGCGTAGGGGTCGTAGCCCAGCCTGGCGAGCATCGGCGCGATGTGGGCCATGTCCTGCAGCACATCCCCCGGGATGTGCCCGATCCATTTCGACAACGCCTCCATGTTCACCGGCTTGATAACCTGGTCCGTGGATCGTTCTATCCTGGGGGAAAAAAATAATCAAAACAAAACAAAAAAAACCAAAACAAGAGGCTAAAGTTGGATTTCACACAGCCCTCAACCAGGTTCACTGCCAGTTCAACAGTTTCCTTCCAATGCCCAAGGCACGGGTGCAGGGTGAGTGCTCAGCACACACTGGGACCACCCGGGGCACAGCCGGTGCCAGGGACAGTGGGGCAGCCCCAGAGCAGCCCCATCCCACCCACAGCCCTGCTCTGGGGGAGAGAATCCTGGCAGGGGTTTCCACAGCCCCAGAGGTTGCGTGCTCCTGGATGTGGGGGGGATCCATCCTGCACCAGGGTCGGGGTGTTACCAGGACACTTCTGCTTATTGCAGGAAAATAATGAAAGACGTGTGGCCTGTAGTGCAGACAACGTCACTGAAAATCCCAAAACTCATCTGTTTAGGCAACCTCAGCAAAACTGACTCTGAGCAAATAGTGCTCAAAGTCCCGGAGAAATCATGGCTTCCTCCATCAAAGGTGCTGGTGTCTCTCTATCCTACACAGCTGCCTTCCTGGGGACAGGGCGCTGGGACAAGCTCCCCATCAGCCGTGTCCTTGCCCTCCAAGCCCCCCCGAAGAGCGAGCCCCTCGTGGGTACAGCCCCCCAACTCTGCCCCCTGGGCTTGGTGGGACGCTGGCCCGGGGCGAGCAGCCGCCTGCTTGACTCCAGCCAAGGGAAGCGGCGTCCTGAGAGGGATGAATTTGCACAGAGGCTGCAGATCCCGAGCCTCGTGAGAGGGCTTACAACTTCAATTTTGCTAATTTAGACTTAAGCCTCCATCCAGGAAAGAAAGAGCATTAAAAGAGGAGAAGGTGGGCGAAGGCAAGCACGCCCCTGGCAGCCAGCGAGGAGGAAGCGCTGGGGTGTGTCTCCACGGAGCAGGTATTTCTTTTATTCTGCAATACCAGCACCAAACTTGGCAGAAATCACTGCTCCCCACTGAAAGCCATTCATTAGCAGCAAAACTCATTGCGGCAAGGAGGTATTTGGAGGATGGGTGGAGGAAAAAAAAAAGGCATTGAAGAGCTCACGTTTCAGATCAAGCAGCTCTTTTCAAATTAAGAGACCAAAATCCTTTCTGCATTGTCAGGAGGTATGAATAGAGCAGTCACCTGCCTCTAAAATCCTTGCCTGACGAGATTGCTAGTATTCATAGCGTCTTCTGCTCAGCAACACAAAACCTAGTCAGCAAAACCGGACTGTGCTGCCACTTCTGCCCCTGAAGAAGCAGGCAGAAGACACAAGCAACGCATCTTCGCCCCCAGTTTCAGCCTCGACCCGCTCTGGGTGATGAAAACGCTCCTCTGAAAGCCAAGGCAGGAGCTGAGACACTCACTTGGAAAGCGACACCCCGCCGGGCTTCCCTATCAGCTCCTCGTGGTGCAGCACTGTGTCGCTCCAGGAGATGTCCAGGAACTTCATGATGGCGTGCATGGACTGCTCGGGGTGCAGCACCAGCTGCTCGTAGTAGACGGGCAGGCAGCGGGAGCGCCCGATCTCCAGGCACTGGGAGTACATCACCTCGATGGCTTTGTTCCACTTGGTCAGGCAGTCCCGGTAGCTGTTGAGGTCGAAGCCCGCGATCGTCACTTTCCGGGTGATCATGGAGTGGACGGAAGCCCGGCCGTCTCGAACCATCAAGAGGAATTTGGAGTTGGGGAACAACCTGGACAGGTAGACGGAGGACTTGAGCGTGAAGGGGTCCTTGTTGCACAAGTACCTGGCCGGCTCACCGTGCTTGGCAATCACTTCCAGTATAAAGGCCTGCATGGCGGCGTCCAAAACTTGGTCCGTAACCCCCGCCTCGTCCAGGCGCATCTTCTCTCGCCCGGATTTGGACCAGGCCTGTCTCATGGCCAGCACCCGGGGGATGATGCGGGTCTCCTCCCCGCAGCGCACCTCAGGGTGAGCATCCAGCATGGCCCTCATCAGCGTCGTGCCGCTCCGCGGGACCCCCCCAATGAATATCAGGGGCATCTCCTTGCTGTAACGGTACTCGACGTGGTTGGAGTCCATCATGACCAGCTCCTCGTTCTCAGGTCTCATCAGCCTGTGCCTCCTCTCACTCAGGACCTGTTGGCACTCCAGGACCTGCTGCCCGAGGTGCAGAGTCACCATCAGGGCCGCCACCGAGCCCACCACCAGCAAGACCCTCCTCATGGTGACCCGCATCCTGTTCTCCTCCGCACAGGCTGGTGACCCACGCTTCAGCTTTCAGCTACCAAGTGTTCAACCCAACGGGCATCTGCAAGAGAAACACAGCACGGTGAGAGGAGCAGGACCCACAATCCCACCCAGTCCCACCAGCACCTCAGCATCCAGCCTGGCTCCTTCAGGATGCTGACACCAACCCAGGCTTTCGTCATCTCTTTCACTTATCAGCAGCTTCCACACTAGGTGCCTTCTACCCAGCAAGGTGATTAAAATCTGCCTCAGAGCACACCCAAAGAGATTACTTCTAGACTGTTTGCCTACCCAGAATCACAAGTTTACAGCTGAAGCAAAGCTCCAGGAGTGTTTGGGAGAGGAGGGGAGGGGCCACGCGTATCCTGTCAGTCCTTAAAAAAAATATAAAGTCTTTAGAGAGAGTCTGTTCCACCCCAGATGAAGCTCAGACCCTCCCTGCAGTTCTCCTTCCTCCCAAAAGTGAGATCAGCGCACCGCCGGCTTCTCACTTCCCTCAGCCACCTGCCCCCTTCCTACATTTTCTTTTGTGCTGCCCCAGGGGAGGGGAGAAAGCTGAAATAAGAGGGGAAAAAAAAAAAAACCCACACAAAAGCATCTCATGCAACTTTTAAGGGCCTGAGTCAGGAAAAGCAGTTACCCATTAGAATGAAACACTTTGAGAAATCAAATTAATAAGGCTAGAACAGCAACACACGGAGTCAGCGTTAAGTGCCCTTCCTCCAGGGACTGACCTTATGTAAAAATCCTTGAAGGCTTCCTCTGGCATTAAGGCTTTTTTGGGGTTTTTCTTTTCTGCTCGTTGGGAGGATCTCCAGCAGGAAGCCTGGCAGTTTCTGCAAGTCCCCTGCTCTGCCGCCTACCCGGGAAGGGCTCCTGCGAGCTCTGGCAGGGTTCCCCACACCCTCCTCCCCCCTTTTTTCTGCTCCCTTTGCGAGCGCAGGTTTTGCAATCCTCCCCTGGGCTCACCCAGGGATTTCGAGCTCTTTGTGATTATGTGGCCGGGGCGGGCACTGAAGGGGCTGGAAGGAACGGGACGTCCAGGCGGTTTTGTTTTGTTGAAAATCCAAAGAACCGCTGCAGAAAAAAAGGTTTTTCTCCTCTCGACTCTCTCCCGTGAAAGAGCACGTTTAGCAGCAGCCCCTTTGCAGGGGGGAGCAGGCGGGAGAGCCCCCCCAGAGCCAGCAGAGGTGGCTCCAGACCCAGCTGGGCACTCCAGGACTCGCTCCATTCCCCTTCCAACCCCTGACATCCCTCTCCACCCACCCGGACCCACAAACCATGGGCTGCTGCCATCCACCCGCTCTGCTTTTACCTTTTATTCTGCTCAAACCACCCCAGGCAGAGGCAGTGCCCCTCTGCCCACCCAGCTATGTGTTTTTCCAAAGTCAGATCGCCACCGACATCATTTTTTGTGGCTCCTTTAGCACCAGGATTAACTTCCCGCTTAACATCCCAAGGTCAAACAGTTGGAATTGCAATCCCCACTTCCTATAAAAGTCAAGAAGTCAAATGCTGCCCCATTTGTTTAGATGTAAATCAAGAGGGGACAACAAAGAGCTCCGGCCCTTCAGTGCAACACCGGGCAGAGCCAGAGCCATTAAAAAGACAAGCGCTCATCTGCTCCTTCCTGCTATCTTGATCCGTTTCAGTCATGTAAATATATTCAAATGTTCACCCTAAAAATAATTGCAAATGCCACACAGGACCCATTTCAATGCGTTGTAGCTGGAGCCATCAGGATTTAAGGCCAACTGGAATAATTACGGCTGTGCAGACCAGGACGGGCTAATTAGCAGGAAAGATCTGCAGTTTAAAAAGGAGGCTGGGAGCACAGAAGTGCTCTGTTCTTTGCAAAAAACGGCTTAGAGGGAGCGTTTCCCACCGAGATGCTCCCAGCAGCTCCAGTCCCAGCGTCGCCGGAGAGGAACAAAGGGACTCACTCATTTTGCTGCGGGGAGCGGGAGGCTGGGGGGGACCTGGGATCATCCTGCCACCCTGTCCAGGGCACGCAGCCCCCACCACTGCCCATCCAAGGCCAGCAGCAAGGGGAAGTTCTCATTCCAGTGTGGGGACAAGGGGGAAGGCAGAGAGGCAGGTTCTGATGGGTTCTCCCATCCCGCTGGACTCACCACTGCTCCCAGAACAGCCCCACTCTGCCCCAGGCACTGGGAGGGCTGAAAAAGAACTTCTCCACTGGGACTACCCCAGTGGGATGAAGAAGCATCCATGAACGTGCTTCTGCTGAGCGACCACAACCAGTCCTGGCTTATTTTCAACTCTTTTGAGCGATCCTTTGCTAAGAATTCCCCCAAATTTATGGGGCTTATTAGTCTACGAGAGAGCAGGGATGGGTACCTTCCTCCGCAGCAGATAGCCAGTGGAAAATATCAGGGCTTAATTAGGCGGCACGGCTGTCTGATCAAACGACCTTCTAGTCCTTCTAGGGCTCTGAGAGCTTTTCATTCCAGCAGGAATGAGGAAGCTCTCAGGGGCTTCTCTGGCACATCACGGCAGGGACTGAAAACCACTGCAGCTGGTGATGGGGAGCAGAAATCAAAGTGCAGCAGGGACTGAAAACCACTGCAGCTGGTGACAGGGAGCAGAAATCAAAGTGCCAGCAGCTGATCCTGATCAGAAGCCCCCAAGTGCAGCTCGGACACTGCTGTGACCCACAGCCAGGGGCTCTGGCCCCAGCTGCCACCAGGGCAAGGCTGGCACCGAGAGCAGAGGGAGGACAGGAGCTGATGGGGAAGTGACAGCAGAGCAGTGACAAGGACACAAGAAGTCCTACGGGCAGAAAGTCTTCCTTATTTTGCATGCTGGTGGGATGTTGGTATAAACAAGGCTTAAAGTGTTTCTTATCAGCTCGTGAAGGCAATTCAGAATTATCAGGGTACCAGTGGTGGTGCTCCACCAGTGTCTCCACCAGTGGTGGTGCTCACAGGGGTATGAAATGATGATTCCCCCAGCATCACAGGGGGAATCAGCCTCTCTGGGGCTGCCATCCGTACGTACTCACCTTCCCCTGGGAAGTTCATTTTGCTGCTAACCCAGCTTCATGCCGAACCAGAGCTGGCCACGAGACCACCTGATGGGAGAGAAAAGCCACAATGTCCATTTGTTCGTTTATCACAGGCATCTTCACACACGAGTTGACCAGCCATGCTCTCCTCCTCGGCAACATCCCCTGCCACACGCATCCCTCCTGCCCACAGCCTCCCCCTGAGCCCAGGGAAAAGGTGGTCCCAGCTCAAAGCCAGCACTGGGAGGCAGATGTGACAGGGCTGTGACACGGCCACCCAAGGCATTGGCACTGTGTTCACAGGGCTGAGCCAGAAGGGGAAACTGAGAGAAGCAGGAAGGTGACTGCTCTTTTAGGAAATGAAGCCTCCTGGAAGGGAGAAGCCTCGGGGAGGGGGGACAGGAGCAGCTGGGATGTTTAAAACCCAGGGGACAACAGTCTGAATGTGGCACGTTTCCACCGCGCACAAACCATCACAGCAACAGCCCGTCCCAGAGGAAGCAGCTCTGGACTCACCCGTCGCAAGTTTTGGTACAAATGCTAAAATCAGGCACGAATCAGAGTATGGTCAGTCCCCAAAGCAGTCGGAGCAAAAGGAGACGGGTCCCAGAGATCTCCCTCCAGCCTCACCACCCACCCAGGCGGCAGCACCGACCCCTTGGGGCATGCAAACCCCACTGAGGAGGACACCAAAAGCTGCACATCGGCCCAAATGCCAGATTTCCCTCAAGGACACGACGCCTGCACCCGAGAGGACTGCGCCCATCCTGGGGGGCTCAGCACCTGCCTTGGCTGAAGCCATCCTGCGAGCACCGAGCATCCTGGTGACACCACGCCGGTGCAGGGCTCCTGTCCCTGCACAACACCCTCCTCCAGGCACAGGAGGCAGCAGCAGGGGGGGAATTGTCCCAGCACGGGGGGAATTTCACTGAATTTCACTGAATTTTGTCCCAGCAGGGCTGCAGGTTTCCCAGCAAAGCCACCCGAGGGGTCAGGACCCGTTGAGGAGGCAGGATGGCACCTTCCAAGGCTCACAGCATCCGCAGAGGACCAGGGGCTCGTGGTGGGGGACGCTGCAGTCAGGCCCTTCCCCCTCGATGCATCCCGGCCTCCTCGGGAGGATGTTTTTGAGAACATTTCAAGTACAGACACTAATTGTTATTCCAGCCACCCAAGAGTCTCCTCCTCCCTTGCCCAGCTGCCATCAAAACGTCACCCGGCCCCCTCCGCTTTAGCGCTAATTAAGAAACAGAGGGAAACTCCACCCAGCACCAGCTTTGCAAGAATTTTACCCGCCATCGCACGCATGGCCCCTCCATTCCCTGCAGGGCTCGACCCAGACCTGGCCTCCATCCCCTCCGGGGTTGGGATGAGGCTGCAGGTCTGTGGAGCAGCATCATCCGCATCCCCGGCCGCGCTCCTGCGAGCACCACGGAGGATGCGGTTGTGGTTGAACAGCCCCCCCTCCAGCCCCAGAAACAGCTCCAAGCTGTCACCCGAGCACACACAGACAGACACACAGACACACAGACACACACACGCTTCCTTCCTGACGCCTCCCAGCGCAGCGCGGGGCCGTGCCGGATGGACGCCGGGCCAGCACCGAGCCACCCGCAGCCTCCGCGGCCTCCTTCACCTGCGGTTGTGAAAGGGGCCAACCACCACCAGGGCTGCCCTGCACCATCTGTGGTGATGAAGCAACATCTCAACTCCCATGCTTTTCTTTTTTTTTTTTTTGCTTTTTTTTTTTATAAGCAGCGAAGCGTTACAACCCCAACAACCCAACCCAGTTTCGACGAGAAGCTCCACGCCATCCAAAAAAAAAAAAATGTATAAAAAAAAATTAAATATACGCATTTTCTCTTTAAACAATTCCCAGAAATGATCGTTATTAACTGCAGCTTCCCCAAAAGACGTTAGGTGGGGCCTGGAAAATTTTAGTTCAAATCGTTGGGGCTTCGTAGGAGGATGAGGAACTGCAGGCAGCTTTTGCGGTGGAACGGCAGCAGAAGCTGTGGTCAGCAAGAAATATCTCCGTCTATCTAAGCGTGCATCTTTGCAAATCAGCAAAATTTAATCGCTTAATTGAGAGTCTCCAGTTGATTCACAGGCGGCACGCAACACCAAAATAAACACAGCTCTGCCTGAGGGTGGCTGCCACCATCCCAACCTGAGCCCAGAAGCGCTGTCACCGCCGAAGGCAGGAGGGATCCTCCTGGTGGCATCTTCCAAAGTGCCTGGTGACTCCAAAGCATCTCCCTTCAGCAGGACAGAAATGCTCCCATCCCAAGCAAACGGGAGAGAGAGGGGTCCAAGGAGCCCCGGAAAGAACGGCGTGGAGCGGGAAGGGATGGGCACCAATTTCAAAGCAGCCCCGGGGGGGAAAAGCTGAAGGAGAAAAGTTTAAAACATTCACCGAGAGGTGGAGGAGCAGCCCTGGAAAGCAGGGAGGAGGCAGGGATCTCTGCTCGCTCCTACGTGCCCGCGGAGGAGGCTCCTCACCCAAAATGTGTCGTCAGCCCCATTGCACAACCCCGGGGTCGGTGTCCGTCCGTGGCCGGGATCGATCCCCGCGGGGACGGTTGGAGCAGGGGAGCAGGGTCCAACCTTCTCGGCCGTTTGGTGCCCACCCCGATGGATGGGTGTCACAGCCCCTCAGGAGCGCGGTACAAACCTCTGCTGGAGGCCAGGAACGGCCCCAAGGCTCCGGGAGGTGAGAAAAGAGCCCCCAGCTTTTATCTGCATGAAGTGAAGCTGTTGAACCTACAGCACTCAAAAAAAAACCAAAAAAAAACCACACCAAAAAGACAAAAATAAAAAAAAAAACCAGAAGTTGCTTGCAGGCCACCAAGTGGTGAGAGCAGCAACATCACCAGCAGAACAATTTTTGCTTCTTAAAGCTAAAAATGCACGGCAGGTCACAAACTCAGGCCTATCTGCAGGAATCAGAAGCCAATCCTGGGAAAAAAACACTGGATTTTTAGAGCCCAACGGGACCCAGTACCTTGCAGAAAACCCCCGAATACCAAGAGCCCCCTGGTTGGCAGTTTGTGCTGCCGACACTGTCCTGAGTGAAACCGAAAGGAGCAGTTGGAGGGCTGCGAGGAGGAGTGGTTGAGCCCAGGGCTCGGCGCCCAAACCACAGGGAGGATGTTGAAGCGCGAATTTTAGCGCCCGGTCGGCTCAGCTCCCCCCTGCAGCAGCCGCAGGACACGCTGCACCCTCCACGCCGGGGCCCCCCCCCAAAACCACGCCGGCTCCTGAGCATCCCCTCTTCACCTTCTGCTCTGCAAAGCGCTCACTGTGGCTCTGGCAACTCCACTCAGATGCCAAAGCCACCCCCAAGAGTTGGGTGTGAGGGTCCTGGGGCAGAGCCCACCACCCCGGTGCAGATCCCACTCCCCAGCACCACCACAATTCCCACTTTCCTGCAGCCCGGAGGTCGCTGGCTTGGACCTGCAGGGGGAAGGGGGGGTCTCATGAATCACGGAGTTGTTGGAGATCAAAGGGACCTTCTAGAGATCATCTAGTCCAACTCAAAAGCAGGGTTGCCCAGAGCACATCACTCAGAAGCATCCAGGTGGGGCTTGAGGATCTCCAGATTTGGGACTCCACACCCTCCCTGGGCAGCCTCTGCCAGGGCTCTGCCACCCTCACCCCAAAGAAGTTCTTCCTCAGATTGGAGTGGAACTTCCCATGGTCCAGCTTGTGCCTGTTGCCCCTCGTCCTGTCACTGGGAACCACTGAAGAGTCTGGCTCCATCCTCAACCCACCCTTTAGATACTTGTCAGCATTAATAAGGTCTCCCCTCAGCCTTCTCTTCTCCAGGCTCAAGACCCCCAGCTCTCTCAGCCTTTCCTCATCAGGGAGATGCTCCAATCCCTCCATCCCCTGTTGCCCTACGCTGGACTCTCCCAGCAGTTCCCTGTCTCTCTTGAACTGGGGAGCCCAGAACTGGACGCAGGATTCCAGAAAGACCATTCCTATCCCAAAGCACAAATTCCTCCTCCAGAGGGGGGACACAGGGGGCTTCATTCTCACTGCTGAGCACCTAGAAAAATAAACTAGCAAGGATCTGATGCCCTGAGGATTCAGGCAGCGCACGCTTGGCTTCAAATACCAGTTTTCTTGCACCTAGAAAAATAAACTAGCAAGGATCTGAAGCCCCGAGGATTCAGGCAGTGCACACTTGGCTTCAAATACCAGTTTTTTTGATCAGAAAAGGTGGGAGCCCTGAGCCACGCAGCACATTCCCAGCCAAGATCCCCCCAGCACAGCATCCCTGGAGAGCCTGCCCCCCCCGCTCCAACAGGCTCTAAATCACATCAACAAAAGAATTGACAGACATTTCGCAGCACAAACGTAAAACGTACTGTTTGTTTATCGCCTCGAGGCTGTTACAATTAGGAAAAACATTTTATTATCCCCGCTCCGAGCTACAATGTTACCCAAATAATGAAAAGCCCCACTGATTTACAGCACCTCCACTCCCCCCACCCCAAGCAGAGCGATGGCATCTCATCGACCGGGCGATGGCAACCACAGTACCCGCTTCTGCCAACAGCCTTTGTCTCGAATTGGCTTATTAATTATGAAAACACCCGGAGTGAAAGCTGCGGGGGTGATGGAGGCACCCACCCCACCGACCCCCCCACCCTGGGGGCTTGCCACGTCCCCCCTCTTGGCTGGAGGAGCAGGGCTAGGAGGTCCAGTTGCCACCAAGCCAGGGGGTACAGACTGGGAAGGGACACCCGCTGGGCTGCAAGGGATGGGTGCTGCAGCATGAGGGGGGTCTGTGACCCCCCCAGTGACAGATGGAGCCGCCTGGCAGAGGGGCTGGGTAGCCCTTGTGCCTAAAAAGGAGCTCTGTGCTTCGGAGGGAGATTCTCCTGACTTTTAATCAAGCCGCAGCTCCAATTCTCACAGCTTTACCTTTTCTTAATTACTCTGCAGTTGCTGCCTGGGGAAGGCGGGGGGGGGACACAACACACAAAGCGGGTGTCACTGCCCGAACGGTGACAGACAGACAGAAAAACAGACAAACACACTCCCATGCTGGCTCCCCTTGCACCCTGACCCATGGTCCTGTCATCCTCCTCCCCTTAGAGCTGGACGAGGGGGCTTTCGGGAAGCTCGGAGCTCTTCTCCCACTCCTCCCAGTGCTCCCCACCAGGGTCCCTCCGACCCCCACCCCACAGGAGAGGGGCAGAGGGAGCCAGAATTTAAGCCTCTGTGTTAATTCACGACACTCAGCGCAAACACGGCACTTCCAAAACTCAACAAAGACTCCCCGGGTGGATGTGGGGTGGTCAGAGCCTGCCATGCAACAGGGAGGAAAAAAAAAACCAAACAAAACCAAAAAACAAACAAAGTCAGAGGATCTGCTGGGAAAAAAATAATATACTAAATATCTTACAAACAAAACCAAAAAACAAACAAACAAAAAGTCAGAGGATCTGCTGGGAAAAAAAAATAATACTAAATATCTTCCAAAAAATATTTTCCAAAACCCTAAGTCTCAACAAGCTCCACTCTTGCACGCACAAAGACCAGGATTTGCAAATAAAAGGCTGTTTCTGCAAGAGAAACCCCAAAACCTCAAATTTGCTTAAGAAGCAAAATCAAAATATTTTATTTCCCCATGCAGCAGCAGCAGCAGCAGCAGCCGCCGTTCAAAAAATATTTTCCAAAACCCTAAGTCTCAACAAGCTCCACTCTTGCACGCACAAAGACCAGGATTTGCAAATAAAAGGCTGTTTCTGCAAGAGAAACCCCAAAACCTCAAATTTGCTTAAGAAGCAAAATCAAAATATTTTATTTCCCCATGCAGCAGCAGCAGCAGCAGCAGCCGCCGGCCGGCCCCAGGGCTGAGGGCACTGGCCAAGGAGAGGGTTAAGGTGGACAGAAGGGTGGCTGGGCAAGGAATAGGGGCCACGATCTGCCACGCTTTGGTAGCCATGGCCCATCTCCCTGCAGAGAGTGGGGCTCAGAATTTGGTATTTTGGTATTTTCCCCAAGGCCAGTAATTCTGGGGAGGGCACAGAGCGCTGCCCAGCACCACCTTTGGCAACATGCTCTTCCCAGGAGACCACGGATGGACGAGAAGGAATTGGGGTCCTTCTAAGATGGACGTGGCTGACCCGTAGGAGAAACCACCCCCAACGGCACATCTGAGCGCTTCACGGCTCGGTTCCTGGCCTCAGACACCTGGCTACGAGCCCTGCGTCCTCTGTTGCCGTTTACAGCTGCAAATGCTGGGCTACTGAAAGCCGTCTCTGCGTGCCACCCTTCCTCTGCATGTCACCAGGACCCGGCCACGCTGGCCCACGGCTGCCCCGGGGGAACAGGAAGGGGTCGGGTGCTCTCGCACCCCCCTTGCAGGGTGTCCAGCCACAAGATCCAATCCCAGCACTGAGCAGGAACAGGAACAATGGGAAAAGCTCAGCTGGCCCACTCCTGGCCCACTCCACCAGTCTGTGGATTGCAGTGGCTCTGGAGCTAAATGGTCCTTTCTCCATGGATGAGGACCTCGAGGAGCTGACGGTCCTTTCTCCATGGAGAAGCACCTCGAGTTGATGGTCGTTTCTCCATGGAGAAGCACCTCAAGGAGCCAGTGGTCCTTTCTCCATAGAGAAGTACCTCAAGGAGCTGATGGTCCTTTCTCCACGGAGAAGCACCTCAAGAAGCTGACGGTTTCTTTCTCCACAGAGAAGCACCTCAAGGAGCCAGTGGTCCTTTATGGAGAAGCACCTTGAGAAGCCGATGGTCCTTTCTCCATGGAGAAGCACCTCAAGGAGCTGACGGTTTCTTTCTCCATGGAGAAGCACCTCAAGGAGCCAGTGGTCCTTCCTCCACGGAGAAGCACCTCAATGAGCTGATGGTTGTTTATCCCATGGAGAAGCACCTCAATACTGCAGCCCCTTGCAGATTCCCCGGTCTCAGTTTGGGCTCACTCGCCTGGGAACGCGCGATGGGAACCGGCCTCTTGCTCAACTTCCGAGTGCTGCGGATTGAGCAACCCTCTGCTGCTGTCACCAGGTCTTGTTTACTGACCCAAGGGGACTCGGGGGGCACTCCGTGAGCCTCTCACACGCCACATGGCTCCTAGAGGCATGGCCAGCCCCTGGCAACACTGCCAGCCCCCACACTGCAAGGCCAGCACAGGAGAAGCACCTCAAGGAGCCAGTGGTCCTTCCTCCACGGAGAAGCACCTCAATGAGCTGATGGTTGTTTATCCCATGGAGAAGCACCTCAATACTGCAGCCCCTTGCAGATTCCCCGGTCTCAGTTTGGGCTCACTCGCCTGGGAACGCGCGATGGGAACCGGCCTCTTGCTCAACTTCCGAGTGCTGCGGATTGAGCAACCCTCTGCTGCTGTCACCAGGTCTTGTTTACTGACCCAAGGGGACTCGGGGGGCACTCCGTGAGCCTCTCACACGCCACATGGCTCCTAGAGGCATGGCCAGCCCCTGGCAACACTGCCAGCCCCCACACTGCAAGGCCAGCACAAAAGGATGGACTGGGGATGAAAAAGGGGAGGGAAAAAGCATCATTTGCCATTAGACAGGATTCCTTTGAGGAGAATCCCTGCGATGCTGGAGATGGACAGAGGTTCAGGAGAACTGCACAG